GTGAAGGTTTTTGGTAGGACAGTGGCTAACTCGGGAACCAGAAAATTTGGAAAGCTGAAATTGCAAAAAAATGTTCCCTGTACAAATACCGCGTGGACAGTTAACTTTCTGGACTCCGAGGATCAGTATATCACACATTTCTAGCTACTGGCTTTCCGAGCGATCTCATTACAGCAAGAAATACTGCAAAAACGCTTGATACGTCCGCCCGGTGCGCGTCGCCAATGATTAATCTAATTGACGGCTATAAAAACTAGTGAGAAATCTGAAACGACCATTCTGACCACGTATGGCTAAACGTGTGTTCGCCCTTTTTCTTATAGAGTGCCACCCCCGATTGAAAAAACTGAGTCAGCATATCTGTATTGCTGCATCGTAGGCGAGCAAGACATGATTTCCTTGATTTCACCGTGCTAGAAGCAAGGACAAGTCCGGCAAAAACACAGCACATTTGTGTAAGAGGGCCAGTCAGTAAGTCGCTAGCACAGCCACCTTAGTTCCGTCCCGTCTCTAATATAACTTGATATTATACTATAAAAATTTTGCTGCAAGCACCTGGTCACCGCAACGAAATGTGTCTGCGATAAATCGCGCGTGTGAGTTTTGGAAACACTCGCGGTGGTAATGAAGGCATATGTTGCGATAGGTGTACTGGATTCCATCGCTGGTAACGAACGTTTCATTAGCAAGCCAGTCCAGCAGATTCATAAATTCGCTGGCGTAGGCTGGCCTCAGCACGCTGCCACCGTCTTTGGCCTCAATTAGCAGGAAAACGCTTTTACGGCGAAATACGTCTTTTCCTTAACAAAAGATTAATTTGGAACAAAGTTTGAAAACATTTAGTAGTATGAGTGTGGGTGATAAATTCAAACTTGTTAAACAAACCTGGATAATAGAGATCATCCTGACTGGCCCAGAATTCCTGGAACACTCTATTCTCCAGCTTCCATTGGGCATCAAGCGGCGTGTACAAATAGTGTACACCCCTTACAATTTTAAATTTGAGGATTATTCCCGTTCCAAGTAGACAAGTTATAAAAAATGGGACCATAATAAACGCCAGTGGATGTCTGTAACCAGTACAAATTAGTACATCATTTCGATCTTTCATACACAAAAAATTTCTTTTACAGTAAAACGAGGCTCAAGGTAATTTAGCAGAAGTTTTCGACCTGTTGCATGGATTTCACTTTTCTCGTTATCGCAAAACTAACTTAAATTAAAATAATTTAAAGGAATAAATAAGTAAATGAGACACAAAAAGGCTGAATTTTCTGAATATTTAGCTAAAAAATCGAGAAACCTGGCAACAAAGCGACAGTATTTGCCCATACATTTAGCGCAACTATTTTCCAGTGGTGCACCCAGGCACCAGCGTTTTTGCTTCGTTTCTTTCCGATCGTTTCCACTCATTTTAGCTTGTAATCAGCTGGTAGAAATGAAAGGTTAATGTGCAGCTCGAACTGATCACGCCACGTTCAAGTGCATCAGCAAGCTAGTTTCTGCATGGCAGCAACCGGTCCTCTCCTCATATCAGTGTCCTCTTCAGCGTTTGCTAATGAGAGCCAC